GCGACAAGCTCGGCGGTACACACTCGTCTCGGCTCGCCAGGAGCACGCTCAGCTCAGAACAAAGGTTGTGGTACCCTAGAGTATAATAGTGCTTTCGTTGCGGATTTGACACCGAGACAGCGGGGCAACTCCACGTTTTAGATGCTGGTGCAAAAGCGTCACAACACAATGGGCTGGTATTAAGGCTCCAATCAGGGTGGATTCGGCTTTTGGAGCTGTTGGAGCTGCGAGGCATGCTCGATCGGCGCAATGGTCTGCCGCGGCCCATCCCCTCGACTTGAAGCCCCGAGCGGGGAGGATAGCATCAGTTCGGAGACATCTATGAACGGCTCCGAAGCAGGCCGCGTCCGAGCTCGGCTAGGCAGCGGATCTTGTTCGGCAAGACACATGGGAATGGCCTCGGTTCGGGGCGAGCTGTCGACGCGCCTGTTCCGCCTCACCCACGTTCCACATCCACCGGCGACGGGCTATTTTTGACCGCAAAGCCATGATTTCGCTCAGACGATCTCAACGCCTCTGTGAGGCGCTTTGAGCATCCGTCGAGTGATCATCATGGACGTCGTGGTGTCGCCTGACCACGCGCTGGTAAGCGGTCCTACGCACATGCATCACTTGTACGAGCTCGGAGCCGACACCAGTTAAGACTTATCGGGCTGATCTGGCGGTAACGTGCACTCTCAATATAGAGGGTCCACTCCGTCAGAAAGGTGTGCGGCTTTCTCCATGTACGTCTGTCATTCAAGTCAGTCCCTTTCGTATTCGATTCAACGTGCTCTGCAACATTGCAATTCAGGTGATAAAAAAAGAAGGCCAACTTAAGGGAGAGAGAATGTGGAATTCGAGGAAAGATTGCACGATGAACCCTCGGGCCAAAAAGCTCCCCGCACATGCCGTGGGCCGCAATAACGGTGCGCGAGACGGGACGAACGGCTGGCGTCATTTGCTGTCAAATGACGGAAGCTGCCGGTATGTATGGAAGCTTCGCTTCGGCAGCACGGGTTCGACGCACGAGCTGGCAGGCCTCACCCGAGCATCGGCCTCGAATGACATCAAACACGACGTTGCATTGCCTGCTCCCTCGTGTCGAATGCGTGTGACGCCGACCAACTACTCCAGCTCCCATCTTTGTGCTCACGATGCCACAAGCAAACGCCTGTGGATCGAGAGAATCTAGTGGTGTCGTCGTCGACGCTTCCGGATGGCAACCGCGGACGAAGGACTGGGGCGTGCAAGGGCGAACGAGAGTGGAATTCATGCCCTGAGTTTATCCTCCAGCACAACTCCGACGAGACGGCAGCGCCTCTGCTTGCGAGCGCGTTTAATTGGCGGAGTTGAAGGCAGTCAACGGCGAGAATCCGCATCTACGGCAACTTCGCCGGCGCTGCCCGAGATGTTTGGTCGTGAGCCTAATGCGGCCCGTTCTGACGGACGTGGTTTCGTCACCAGCTCTTCATGCAAAGCGCATACGAGATCTAGGAACAGGCGCCGGAAGCGCCCGCACGGATCCTGAACTTCGGATCCGAGCTTTGAAATTCATGCTGATGGCACAGGCTGGCAGCATGGAACGTCGTCGCGATCGAGCCTGAAGTACGCCAGCTCACGCATTCTTGCGACGATGTACGTGTGGAATCGGACGTTGGCGAAGCCGTTGGCGAAGCCGTTTGCTCTTATTTCGAACGCACAGCAAGCAGCGGATGCGAAGCCTTTGCGACGCTTCATGCGATGACGAGCACCTGTGGTACTGTTGGCGCTACCCCGAGGTACCGGACATCCTGCAATCGCATCATCGATAGGTTGCGCAACGGAAGACGGATTTACGTGCAGCGCGGTGCTTGGTATTCGGAATGCGAGCATGCTCTCGACACTTGGCCGACGACTGTCTCGTCGAGGCATGCAGATTATCCGCCGGCGTTTTTCCGCGTGGCGGATTTTCCAAATTGAGATTTGTTGTCGGTGAGAGCCCTAACACATTCTGCTTTTTCGTGAAGATCTGACACTCCTGTCGCGTTCTTTCTGTCTCGCACGAGCGAGGCTGGCACTGACATGGCTCAATATTGGTGCTCGTGCGAAGCATGGCCTGCATGTCTCTCTCCTGAGCCCCGCAAAGCAACACTTTTTTGAGGTTCGTGCATGGGTGCGAGTCCGCCCGGAAGCGCAACACGCTGGCAGCACGCGCCGGTCTGAAAGCGCCGGCGACTTCCAACTCTACGCAACGCACCTTCTCGTGCCCTTGTCGCTTGTATCCCACCATCACAGCCCCACTTACGCTTGGTCCCCCCTAACCCCTTCGCACACACGTACCCACCTTTCATTTCAGGACGTGCGACTCGCCAAGCCGCATTGACCAGCCACCGTCACCCAGCAAGTTACCTGCGGCAAAGAATCGGTGCAAGCTGGCCTTGTCCTACTTTGCTCGGACGCGTGACCCTTCTGCCATTCGCCTTTCGATAAGCATCGTCGCATCGTTGGAGTGACTTGCTTTCCAGGATCAACCTCGTCATGAGCTCGCAAGCCCCCGCATCTACCGTGGTCGTCACCGGCATCAACAAGTCGACTGCCAGGAAGCAGATCGACGACTTTTTCAGCTTCTGCGGCTCCATCGCCAAGCTTGAACTCACCGAGGATGGCCCCTCCACCCAGAAGGCCGTCATCGAATTCGTCAAGCCTAGTGCTGCCAGCACCGCCGTGATGCTCCACGGCAGCTCGCTCGACGGCGCCCATCTCTCAGTTACGCTCGGCGCCTCCGCCGCCTCAGCTGCCACCACAGCCGCCGCTGCTACGACCACTGGCGTCCCCGCTGCTCACGACGATGTACAGTCCGTCGGTCAGGAGGACAAGCCCAAGACGGCCATCGTTGCCGAGTACCTCGCTCACGGCTACACCATCTCGGACGAGATCACAAAGCGCGCCATCGAGCTCGACAACAAGCACGGCCTGTCCGCCACCTTCAAGGGCTACCTCTCCCATCTCGACCGCTCCCTCGGCCAGAAGCTGGAGAAGGCTGCCCCTCCTGCCGCCGTCACAACCGAAAGGACCGAGCACACCCCCAGCGGTCCGGCGGCCCTCTCGTCGGCGACCGACAAGGTGGCCGCTGCCATGCCTGTCCCGGGCGACGACGCCTCGGTTTCCGGTCCCAAGACCACCACCACTGTTCCCAACCCGGCTTCGACCGAGGCAGGTGCTGCTGCTGCGGCCCTCGACAAGCAGGACCCTTCGCTCACTCGTCAGCTTCAGCAGCGCGCTCAGGCCGTGCTTGACAAGCCCGAGGTCAAGGCCAAGACCGACCTGGTCTGGACCAAGCTCAGCGAGTACTACAACGCTTTCGCAAACCACCCCAAGATCCACGACTTTTACACAAAGACCTCCAAGAACGTCACCGACGTCCACGAGGAGGCAAAGCGCATCGCCGAGAAGAGGAAACAGGGTGGTCCTTCCGGCGCTGCCGGCACCTCGGCGCCTTCCTCGGCCAACAAGCAGATGAGCGTCTCTTGGGTCCTGCTCGGCCTCGTGCTCTTCTCGTCGCTCTCGATCCACGGCGTAGCTGCGCACAGCCACGACGCCATCTCCAACGAGCCCGCCGAGGTGGCCGGCTTCGAGCCAACCGACATCGAGCACGAGAGCTACATCCAGCGTCACATGCGCACCGAGCATCACATTAATGCCTTCAACCTCGGCAGCGCCTTCGCCCTGCACGACCTCGACCGCAACGGCGTGCTCGACCGTTCCGAGATCGAGGCCATCTACGGCGTCCACCACTCCGAGTCCAAGAAGCACTCGCCCACCCACGAGGTGCACGACGAGAAGGCCGACAAGATCGTCGGCTCCGTCCTGCGCGCCATGGACACCAACAACGACGGCCTCATCACCAAGAAGGAGTTCATCGACGCCGGCCCCAACGGCCTGCCCACATTCCCAGAGTACAACATCGGCAGCCTCGGGCACCACTACGACGAGGAGTCCGAGTTCTTTGTCCACCACGAGGAGCTCTACCACAACACCCCCGAGACACAGTCCGACGAGAGCTACACCCACAAGGAGGACCTCGAGCACTTTGCCAAGCACGACAAGATCGAGGAGGAGGAAGAGCGACGCGAGCGCAAGGCCGAAGGTCTGCCCAGCATCGAAGAGGATGCACGCCTGAGGAAGGAGGCTGCCACGCGAGGCGAAAAGTACCAGTCGCCCTACGACGAGCAGCTCTCGCCCGAACAGCAGAAGGAGGCCCAGAAGCAGCATGACGAGGCCCAGCTCGGCCACGCCGTCCACGAAGCCGAGGCGTCGCAGCACACCTTCCGCACGCCGTCGGGCAAGCACATTGTCAAAGAGGAGCAGATGGTCTTCCAGGATGTCGAGGTCGACAACAAGGGTCGTCCTGCTCACCCGCCGCCCGCCGATGCCAGCGCCTCCAGCGCGGGCAACCAGGCCGCCAACGCCGAAGCGGCGGGGCAAGAGCGTCTGCCCCACGGCGTCGCCGATCGATTGCCCGGCGAGACCGAGGAAGGCCGAAAGCAGCGCCTCGCGGCTGCCAAGCTCGAGGCCTCGCGACGCCCTTCGTACGGCCACGGCGACAAGGGCTTCGCGCAACCCAAGGACGACAGCGACCGCATGCGCAAGGGCGCTCCCTACAAGGTAAGTTGTGCCGCTTTCCCCCTCTCTGCTACCCAGCCGACCGTTGAAACCAAGATCCAATCTGTTCTAACGGCGAACAGTATCCTCCTTTGCAAAAACAGTTCCGCGTCAAGAAGCAGTCGTACTTTGTAAGTGGATCCGTTGCTGCTGCTGCTCGTCGAGATGGCGTGGTGAACTTGATGCTGACTGCCAGACTCCCTCTTTCTTTTCTTGCGGGCGTGCCACTTCTCATCACGTGTGCTGGCCGATCCTTCTGCGGGCTCAGGGCGAGTTCTAAGGCAGAGATGCGACGCTCGACTCTCCGACTTGGCATGCCGAATCCACGCACCGATGCCTCATTCCATGTACGCCGTCACTGGCAACTCGCAATCGTTTCAAGATGCAGTGGCATCGGCGTGTCGACGCGTGTGGATGCACAAGCTTGAGCTCAGATGTTGTGGTTGGAGGTCGAAGACGACTTGCGATTCGATCGACGAAGGGGATACATTGGGGACCGATCCGATGCGTCGGAGGACAATGCTGAGCCTCGCGCGGTCGCGCGGCAGCAAAAGACCAAGTGAATCGGCGGAATGCAAGCGGCTGGAGAGCGAAGACGAAACGGACAATGACGGGAGATTGAACAGGCCGGCGGCAAAGAGCTGCTGGCCGAGCACGTCGTCGCTACACGCGGAGCGACTTGCGTGACGTGCCCGGAAGCCTGGAGCATTAGACTTTCTGGAAGTGCCAGACGAAGGAGATCTGACGAGGCATGAAAGCGACCTGTTTGGCAGAGGGGAAGAGAAGCATCATGTGGGCAGGGACGTGAGCACATCATTCGGTCAGAGGTCGGCGCGACGGAGTGCCGGCGACGGAAAGAGCACTTACGATCGGCGGGAAGATCATAGCTGGCGACAGAGCGACCTCGAGCTGTTCATCCTTGGCGGGAACGAGGCTGTTTTCGTCGCGGCACATTGCAGAGTGTTACAGGGAACGTCGAGGGAGACCGGTCCAGTCAAATCGAATGGTGAGGGTTCAACCAGGCGTGAGCATCCCGCCAACGTCAAACGAAGCCATCACATTGTGCGCAGCTGGGAAAAGTAGGGAGCCACTTACTCGTAACGGTCCCGTTCCTGCTGCTGAACCTTGAAGGGAGCAGGGTTCTCGGCAAGCAGCAGCGGGGTGCCATAATGAAGATCTCCGGACCAGGTGATGCCCAGCTTGTCGTTCTTCTTCAGAACGATGACGAATGCGTCAGAGCCATGCTTCTTGACTTGCCACTCCGAGCGCTCGCTCTGTTCCTCTGGCAGCACGCGCAGGGGGTGGTTGGGCTCCAAGCCGACCAGGACGCCGTCCATGAAGCTGATGCGGTAGGTGCCTTCGGGGATGTTCTGGGCAGACATGATGATCAAAAGATTGCAGGAGCTGGCGTGTTGCAGAGGGAAGTGTGTGTGCGAAGCTGTTGTCGTTAAGCTGAGCGAAGCCTTTGGCGGGTTGGTGGAATGAGGAGGACGGCGCTACTGGCTACGAGTCGTCCGTATATATGCTTTCAGGCTGCCCCAGCGACCCTCCCTGAGCAGGCTGGGCTCGCCTGAGGAGCGCTCGAGTTGCTCCTGAGAGCTCGTAGCCTCGGGCCGTACCGACAGCGCGCGCGCTCCGTTGTCGCTCACCTCGAGGACCGACGGAAGCAGGGCGAAGATGTGGAGCGACTGTGCCGGAGGTCACAAGACCATATTCCCGGGCCAGGGAAGAGTGGCGTTCGTCTCGCCTCTCTCAGAGAGCACGGCTGTCGAGCTTGATACGGCCAGCAAGTCAGGAAGTGAGTTGGCGTCGAGCATCGGCGAGGCTTGTGATTCAGCCCCTCCGTGGGCCCTTTCCGTGGGCGCATGCCGTTACGAGCCAGACGGATGATCCGAGTCGCCGCGCAGTGTCGCTGCCGGCACGAGGATCGAAGATGCCACCCCACTGTTCTTCGAGTGTCTTCACCTTTGCTTCGAAGTGGGCCTGGCAAACTCATCGTGACTGGATGGCGAGGATCGCGACGAGCAGCTGGCTGCGGCTTGATTGCTCCACGCTTCGAGGGGGCTCGTGGGGTCGTGATTCACGTCTTGGGAAGAAAGGGTGGATGAGGCAACGACAACCGCCCCTCGGGCCAGCCGATGATTCACGTCGGGAAAAGTCAGAGGTCCGTGTGAGCTGCTTTTCCGTCACGCTGATGCACGGCTGCGCCGAGACCCACCGTTGCCAGTGATTCACCGAGCGTGTGACTACTCGATGCTGAGAAGTGGCGCAAGTCACTTCAGGCTCGCCCCGGCCGATGGATCATACGCAAAGTAAGACTGGATGCGCAGCTTCCAGGATCGAGTCGGAAGCAGATCGCAATGTGCGCCCATCGGAGCGGATCTTCCGGGATCCTTCACGCCTTTGACTGTGGCTTGGCTAGGCTTCGCTTCTTCCACACGGACGTTGCAATGTGCCAGGCTTGCAGAGCTACACTTTCGCCATGCCGCAGGCAGAGGTGGAGCGGGCTCGTCGAGGTTCGAGTCACTGGAGCGCGCGAGGCTGTCCGGTACCGCGAAATCAAGGAAGCGCCCAGCACGGGCTCTACCGACCCGACAGTCAGCTTCTTCTTTCCTCGGAGACCGTCTCGGCTCGTCCGCTCACAATCGGTCGGCCAAAGGCAGAATCGTACTCTCCTGCAAACACGCTCCACCTGACCTCGCCCCGTCACCGTGGCCTTTCTCAACTTCGGGCCCCACACGCCATTTTGGGCGTGGGCGAGTGCCATTCCTCGGCGGAACTTGCAACGCCTACGCATGCCAGGCCTTCCAGCTTCCTCCATGCGAGCCGCAAAGGCACCACAGCAGGGGATTGAGTTTGCCGTCGGTAATCCCGACGCGGGCACCAGCCTCGGTCCGTTCCTCATCACGTTCACCAATACGATCGCAGCCAGCCACCTGACCGTCGAGGGTCGGTTCTTTGACCGACTCGGTCAACTGTAGCGAGTCGAGGAGACTCGGTCACGTTACTGCCGAGGCAGCGGTCGCCCTCGTTCCATGCATCTCTTTGCTCAACTCGGTCCTTGCGAGGGCGTCCAGCTCGAATCAGGATCGCAGAACTTGCCGCTGTTCTGCTGCTTGCATACGGCCGTCACGAGACTTGATGGATGATTGCCTTAAATTGACGACGATGACGATGATGATGGCGACGATGTGTGCGAGTGGATATGCTTTTGGGATTTGTCGACCAGCAGCTTCTACTGGGAGGCCTGCTCTTGCGCCTGTTCCTGCGCCAGACGGATAGCCTCTCGATTGCGTTCGCGACCGCGTTCGCGCTTGCCACCCTGCATTGTCTTGACGAGCTTGCGACGTTGCGCGTCGTCGGCAGCAGGGTCAGACGAAGCAGTCGAGGGCTTGGTCTCGTTGACCTCGGCAACTCCGATGAGCGAGGTGTCGAGCGGATGGTTGAACCTGCCCTTGCGAGACGAGCGCGTAGCGATGATCTCGGCCGACGAAGGCACCTCGATCTTGGGCCAGGTGGTGAGCGCTGGGTACAAGCCGAGGTGCTCGACAATCGACGCATCGAGCAGCGCTCTCGGCGCTTCGTCGGATGCACCGGCACTCGGCTCGGTGGCAGGCAGCAGGGCTTGGATCAGCGGCGATTCCGACTCGCGTGCAAAGTTGCCAGCGGCATCCAGACGGAAGACTGCAGCTTCTGCACTGGCATCATGCGCAGCCTCGGCTTCGCCGCGGAACTCGGGTCGTGTGTCGAAGGTGGCAATGACGGATACGCCGGCACTCGCAGCGCGCTGGACCAAAGCGAGGTGCAAGATCGGCGCGGCGGCCCGGGTGACGCGGATCTGACTCGAGATGTCTCTCTTCTTGTCTTCCGAAGGGTCGGGCTCTAGCAATGCGCTGACCGGGATGTGGAAGAATGCAGTCGCTCCCTCGACCACGACTAGGAGCCATTGTGTCCCCTCGGCGTCGGTGAAGGGAAGCAGATCAGAGATGACGACGGTGGGCCTGGAGTCCTTTGCGTACTGCGCAGCGAGCGGCTTTGCTTCCGCTGCTTCCGACGCGCTGCCGTCGGTGCCACGCTGGTCCTGCTTGCGCTTGGCGGCCTTGTTGCGCTTGCTCGAAGCCTGAAGAGCCTTGGACTCCCTCTTGCGCTCCTCGCGGTCGCGGGCGAGCACGAAAGGCGCGAGAACCGCGCCCAAGTCGTTGATGGAGAGGCAGGCGTGTTCGGAGCTCGTGTCTGCCGCCGAGCCTGTCGCTGGTGCCGAGGGCTGCGGCAACGTCCAGACACGCAGCGATTGGCCGCCTTCCGAGCTGACGAGGCGCAGAGTGCCCTCGGCGTTGGCAACAACAGCAAGAGCGCCAACAAAGGCTTGGGACCCCTGCAGGAATCTGTCGATGACATAGGCAAGGCGCTTCGAACCCCATCTGGAAATGCGAATGTGCTCGTCACGATCGCCCGTGATAATGTACGCGGGCGGCGCACCCTGCTTGGCGGCGGGAATGAAGGCGAGGCTGGTGATCATGCTGACGTGGCCGAGGAGGATCTGCATGGACGCGTCGGTGGGCGAATCCATCTGGTCCTGCTCATCCGCCGAAGCGTCAACTTTCGCATCGGCGTCAGGAGAGGTGGAAGGAAGCGTTCGAACATCGTTCTCGTTGACCATGATGCTGCGAACATCGCCGAAACGGTCGATGACGATGAGCTCTTCGGAGCCGGCGGGAGTGTTGTCGGTGGGTGGCATCCAGTGTAGGACGGCGGCGCGCTTAGGAAGAAGCTTGATCACGATCTCTTTGCCGAATTCGAAACCGGTGATGCGGTTGTCGGCGTCTCGTTGAAGCTTCCAGACGCGCAACACCTTGTCGTCTCCGGTTAGCGCGAGGAAGCGGTCCGAGTGCGAGAAGCTGGCGAGACGGGCGAAGCTAATATGAGGCTGGTCGGCATATCGCTCGGCATCCGACTGGTCTGGAAGCGTCGGCTGCGGCACGAAGACGGTGGTCGGAATGGCCAGCGTCGTCGGCTTGGCCTCGGAGGTGATGTCGACGAGTTGCACCGAGTTCGCCGAGAGAAAGGCGTACAACTCCGACTGATGGGCAGCCGCGACGTGATGCAACGGCGCACTGGCCATCGCTGCTGAAGATGGTCCTGCTTCAGCCATGGTGGAGCGTGCTTGTCGGTGCTTCCGGAAAGAGAGGTCGAGGGATGTGGTTGCTCTGTATGAGGATAGCTGCAAGTCCGCCCAACTGCAGGCCTCATTTGCGCGGAGGATGCCGAGTGGGGCCTGTAGCGGACCGAGCTCCTTCCAGACCTCCACCCGGGCTCTCGAGGTAGAAAAAATGTCATGTCGGCCCAACCCAAAACCCTGAGAAGAACGCCTTGACCGTTGACTACTCGCACGAATGGAAAGATCGGGGTCGGTGGCTCTCTGCAGCAGAAATCGATCACACTCGCCGGCGCTGGGTTGGAACCCGCTTGGGAGGCAGGGGAGGTCTGGATTTCACAGCATTTTCGCCATCGTAAGCCAGACTGGCGGCCGCTTTTGAAATTTCGAAAATGGCCACTTGTTCCGGCGAGCCCCGTCAACACACCAATCACTGGGGCGAAAATGGTCAGACTTGGCTGCTGCAGCTGGCGCGCGCGCTCACTCTCTCGGCCGTTGGGCGGGCGCGAAGGAAGGAAAGGAATCTTTGAATTCAGGTCGGGGGCAGCCGTGGCCTGTCGAGCGAGCGGCCCATCGCCATCACGAGAGAGAGAGGGGGAGAAGGAGCTGGTCGAGAGGCTGGGTTGGGTTGGGCTCGACTGCGCTGGCTGGGCTCGCCAGGTCGCGCCGAAGAAGCTTCCCAGAGCCGGACGTCTCGACCAACTTTCCACCCTTCCCTCTCCACCCTCGCATCCCGATCTGTTCGTCACCTCCGTCGCACAGCCCTCGTCACCATGGCTGCTCGTCTCTTCGCCCAGTCCTCCTTGAGGCTTGCCCGGGCCAACAAGGTCCCGGCCACCGCCGCCACCTTCAACTTCCGCAACCTGGCCACCGCCGTCTCCCGCCAGCCCATCACCCAGACCACCACGCTCGCCAACGGCCTCACCGTCGCCACTGAGTCCAACCCCTCGGCTCAGACCGCCACCGTCGGTGTGTGGATCGATGCTGGCTCGCGCGCCGAGACAGATCGCACCAACGGTACCGCCCACTTCCTTGAGCACATGGCCTTCAAGGGTACGTACATCTTCGTCTTTTGACGCACCACATTCATCCCGGCGGCGATCCGCACAAGATCGCACCAACACAGGCGAATGCTGGACAATCGTGGACGCCGCATACGGCAAGCCGGTCGACCGCCTCGGCTCGATGAGGTGCAACATTGCAGCAGCACAAGCAGATGCTTTTTGCGTGTCGACTCGACAGCATCCTCTGCAGCCTTCGGCTCGCGTCGCAAGCCAGCGTTGATCCTCGTGCATCCGCCTCGTTGATGCTACTCGCCGTATCGTCCGTCTCACCGCGTTGCTGACCGATCCTCGCTTGCTTTTCACATCCTCTCGTCGCTTCTTTCTTGGTCCAACAGGCACTGGCAAGCGATCCCAGCACGCTCTTGAGCTCGAGGTCGAGAACCTCGGCGCTCACCTCAACGCCTACACCTCGCGAGAGCAGACCGTCTACTACGCCAAGGCCTTTCGCAAGGACGTCGACAAGGCCGTCGACATCATCTCGGACATCCTGCAGAACTCGAAGCTCGAGAACTCCGCGATCGAGCGCGAGCGCGACGTCATCCTCCGCGAGCAGGAGGAGGTTGACAAGCTCAAGGAGGAGGTCGTGTTCGACCACCTTCACTCGGTCGCCTTCCAGGGCCAGCCTCTGGGCCGCACCATCCTCGGCCCCAAGAAGAACATCCTCTCGATCAAGCGTGAGGACCTCGCCGAGTACATCAAGACCAACTACACCGCCGACCGCATGGTTCTCGTCGGTGCCGGTGGCATCGAGCACGACGCGCTCGTCAAGCTCGCCGAGCAGCACTTTGGCAGCCTCCCCGTGAGCCAGAGCCCCATCAAGCTCGGCCAGTCCGCGTCGCCCAAGACCGGCTTCGTCGGCTCCGAGGTGCGCATCCGCGACGACACCTCGCCCACCTGCAACTTCGCGCTCGCCGTCGAGGGTGTCTCGTGGAAGTCGCCCGACTACTTCCCCATGCTCGTGCTGCAGAGCATCATGGGCAACTGGGACCGCTCGCTCGGCTCGAGCCCGCTGCTCTCGTCGCGCCTGTCGCACATTGTCTCGTCCAACAACCTCGCCAACTCGTTCATGCACTTCTCCACCTCGTACTCGGACACGGGTCTTTGGGGTGTCTACATGGTCTCGGAGAACTTCCTGCAGCTCGACGACCTCATCCACTTCACGCTTCGTGAGTGGCAGCGCATGAGCACCGCACCCACCGAGGGTGAGGTGGAGCGTGCCAAGGCGCAGCTCAAGGCGAGCTTGCTGCTCGGCCTCGACGGCACCACCGCCATTGCCGAGGACATTGGACGACAGCTCGTCACCGCCGGCAAGCGCTACACGCCGCAGGAGATCCAGGCGGCCATTGACTCGATCGGCGTCCAGGACATCCAGCGTGTGGCCCGCACCTACCTGTGGGATGCCGACTTTGCGCTCGCCGCCCACGGCCAGGTCGAGGGTATCCTTGACTACAACCGCATCCGCTCCGACCTCAGCAGCATGATCTGGTAATCGGGTGGCGAGACGACGTGCGCCTCGATCTGGTATCCCTGGTCGATCTGCACCAATCTCTCCCTAAGTCTTGTGTCCTTCAATCATGCCGGATATATACATACACATTCTCCCAACACTTTGACGCTTTGCTCTTGGCTCCGATGCGTTTGTGGAAGGCGTGAACGTGCATAGCATGAGTCCCACCGCTGTGCTCGATCAAATCGGCTTTGTACGTGAGCGAGTGCAAGAGCGAGTCGCAACCGCCCTTCGTCTCCGAGCTTTTTCGATGTTGCGGGTGTGGTGGACCAGTGCGAGACAGGGATCGAATCGATGACAGTCGCAATCGGCCCGACTCGGAATATCTGGGTTGTGAGGTCGAAATCCCGTCCGAAAATTGGCAAGGCGACGACGGTGTTGTGCCAGCAGCAGGCGGCGGCGGCGTGGAAGAGGCTTTGGCGCGGGAAAGTAACACAGATGCGCACTTCGCGCCGCACGGGGCGCAGTTCAGTGCGAAATGCGATGCGGTGCAGTTGCGAAGCACTCGTTCGCCAGTCCCGCACGCATCAATCACGCGGAGTGCCCCCACGTTCTCTCCTTCCTGTCTCAACGTCGCCCACCTCCAACATCCCCACCGCTGCAACCCGCCATCTCCCATTCGACCATCAACCACACACCCGCCTCTTGCCATAGAATTCTCACCCCACGCCTTCTGCTGGGACGCAACGCGAGCCAGCTGTGAACATCAAACCAACACCGACACCCGCCCTGATCCTGTGCGTCCGCGCCTCTGTCTACATTCAAGATGGACTTCGACGACATTGGCAGCAAGCTCGCCAACCTCACCATGTACGACGTCAAGTCGCTCTATCGCCAGGCGCGCAACTATGCGCTCAACGTGAGTGAGATCGAGGCCAAGGTGGACGAAGCCACCAACGACGATCCATGGGGCGCCAGCTCGACGCTCATGCAGGAGATCGCGCAGGCCACCAACAACTTCCAAGACTTCAACGAGATCATGCCCACCATCTACCGCAGGTTCATGGAGAAGGAGGCGCGCGAATGGCGCCAAATCTACAAGGCGCTCCAGCTGCTCGAGTACCTCGTCAAGCACGGCTCGGAGCGCGTCGTCGACGACGCTCGATCCCACCTCGCCACCATCAAGATCCTGCGCAACTTCCATTATATCGATGAGAAGGGCAAGGACCAGGGCATCAACGTGCGCAACCGCGCCAAGGAGCTCGCCGAGATGCTCTCCGACGTCGATCGCATCCGTCAGGAGAGGAGGAAGGCGCGCACCAACAAGACCAAGTACACCGGCGGCGGCAACGGCGAATTCGTGCCCGGCAGCGGCACCGGTCGCTACGGCGGCTTCGGCAGCGACAGCTACTGGGCTGGCGGCGGAGCTGGTGCCGGTGCCGGCAGCTCCAGTGGCGGAGGCGGAGGCGGTGCGGCTGCTCGAGAGAGCTTCGAGGAGTACGATGCAGGAGACTTCGAAGAGACGCCCGCCAGCCGTCCACAGCCTAGCTCAAGCACCACACGCGGTGCATCGTCGCGCACCACCCAGCCACCCAAGAAGGAAGCGCCCAAGGTGGCTGATCTCTTCAGCTTTGACGACGACGACGACCAACCTGCCGCTCCTGCCGTCCCAGCGTCCGCGACCCATACCTCTGCAGCGGCTTCCACCAACGATGGATTCGGGGATGACTTTGACGATTTCCAGGCCGCACCTGCTGCTGCTGCTACGGCTGCCAGCAAAGCCCCCGCGGCTGCTACTCAGCCTCCAGCGGCGTCGTTTGACTTTTTCGACACGGCCAAGCCCTCTGCGCCAGTTGGAGCAGCGTCCAAGCCGGCAGTCGGCAACGTCATGGCTCCATCGCAGCCCGCACAGCCAGCCGCCCCGGCTCAGCGTCCTGCTGCGGCCACCAACACGTCGTTCAACTTTGACGATCTATGGGCAGCCTCGTCGGGCAAGTCGAGCGCTGCTGCCGGCAAGCAGAAGATGTCGATGGCCGAGATGGCCAAGAACCAGAGCTCGAGCGCTCTCTTCGCCTCGCCGTCCTCGGCTGCATCGTCGCAGCCCGCCGCACAGCAGAACAAGAAGAAGGATATCTTCGACCTCCTTTGAGCCCGTCAGCCAAGATCTGCAACTGAAACTGTGCTTTCTTAACTGCATTCGTCAATTGAACGTCACTCGTGCTTCGTACTTGCCGTGCGTGAGAGTGAGATGTGAAGTTGACCAGGGTGGCGCGTCGGAAATCAGACAAAGCATTGTCCTGCGTGTGTGTGTGGGAGCGGGAAGCGTGGTGGTCTGACATTCACGTCAGCGTCGCTCGTGACCTCGCTGTTCTGCGTCTTCTCATCGTTGCACACTCCATCCCGTTTCTGAATCGCATTGCTACGATGGCTCACGCGGGCGAACGGCGCACGCTCATCAAGACGACGGCCAGTATAGGCCAAGTGCT